ACCTGTGCTTCATATCCTCCACAAGCCCCCCGAACAATCGGCCCTGGCGTTTCAGGGGGTCGTACGATGGGGGCCCTGCTTGTGGGATGATGTTTGTCGGTTTTTTTATTTGAAGCTCGTAGCTTATATTTCACAGACATACGATAGGACGGAATAAAAAAATGTTTCTATGCACATTGTTCGTTCTGATTTACCGCTACCTGCATGCTTTATTTTGCATCTTATCTGTTAAAGTTAACTTGCTGACAAGAGCAGTAACAACAACAACAACAACAACAACAACGACAACAACAACAACAAAAACAACATCAACAACAACACGGATAATGACCTTTGACCTTCTTTATCTTCTTCTTCTTCCTCTCCTTCTTCTCCTTCTGCTTCCTCCTGGTGATGTTGACGATGGGTAGGAGGGTGGCCTTGTCCCATTCACCCGGTGGCAGGACCATGGAGTCCTTCAGGAAGTCGTTCAGGGAGTCCAGGATGTCCGAACGGTGCGCTGCTACGTAGGCCGTGTCGTGGAAGTGCTGGTGGTGGGTGTGGCGAGGTGGTGATGGTGGTGGGTGTGGCGTAGTGGTGGTGGGTGTGACGTGGTGGTGAGGTGGTAGTGGTGGTTGGTGAAGGTGAAAATGATGGGAGATGATAAATCTTATCATAGTTATGTAAGTAAGGCGATGATTGGTGAAAACCATACAACTCATGATGGCAACAAAACAATGCTGATGTCCATAAAACATATACCAAAATATTTACAACTCATTTTTACAACTGTCACAGGCAATCATTACAAGAAAAACATATTTTCTCTTCGATCTCCAGATCATCTCTTTTCATTGATATCATTTTTTTAATATCTTTGTTCTGATTTGACGAAATAAAAAAATGCCCAAAATGAAGCCCAGGTTCACGTACCTCGTCAGCCATCAGTGTAGACAGGGACCTGCCGACTTCGTGGTAGTCAAGCGAAGGAGTTTTCGGTCCCATTAAGAGGAATATGAATCTAGGAGAGGAGTAGGTAAGTAAGTCGTGTTGTAAGTAGGTGATGAGTACATGTTTGGGTGCAAGTTGAGTACTAACGTATATCTATCTGTATGGTTTTGTATTGAATTGAATTTGTATAGTTTTGTATTGTATTGTATTTGTATAGTTTTGTATTGTATTGTATTTGTATGGTTTTGTATTGTATTGTATTTGTATAGTTTTGTATTGTATTTGTATAGTTTTGTATTGTATTTGTATAGTTTTGCATTGTATTGTATTTGTATAGTTTTGTATGTACATGATAACTAGACAACCAATCAACCAACAGACCAACCAACCAACCAACCATCCCACAAACCAACCAACCAACCATCCAACCAACCAACCAACCAATCAACCAACCATCCA